ACACAAATACACCAAAGTCTTGCATTTAAAAGAATAATGTTGTGCCTAGTTTTTAAACACGAGAACAAAAAGTTCTGACGAATATTAGATTCCACGTCATGATACCACTCCACTACTCTTGCTTTTGACTCGGTGACTTTAGTGATAGTGTTTGCAGCATCTTAATTTTGTCAAGCAAGTACAGTTGAACAAGCTCTAAAAGTACAGTTGAACCTGCTCTAAAAGTACAGTTGAACCTGCTCTAAAAGTACAGTTGAACCTGCTCTAAAAGTGCACTTGAACAAGCTCTAAAAGTACAGTTGAACAAGCTCTAAAAGTACAGTTGAACCTGCTCTAAAATTACAGTTGAACCTGCTCTAAAAGTACAGTTGAACCTGTTCTAACGGCGACCTGTACAAGACAACAACACGTACCTGCTCTAAAAGTACAGTTGAACAAGCTCTAAACTAAAAGTACAGTTGAACAAGCTCTGAAATAACAGTTGAATATGCTCTAAAAGTACAGTTGAACATGCTCTAAAACTACAGTCAAACAAGCTCTAAAGGTACAGTTGAACCTGCTCTAAAAGTACACTTGAACTTGCCACCTGTACAAGACAACAACATGTACAAACGACTAATTCCCCTTTACGTTTTTATTTCTTTGAAAGTGTTATATATGTAATTGTATACTAAGTCCAGCTGTCTAACACAACCACTTCTCTTTTCAACAACGGAGAACTGTCTTGGAGAGGTTTAATTAAATTTTGTGAATGTTTCCGTTTCAGTTTTGTCTTTCTTTTCGTTGTGGTGGTGGTGGTGGATAACTGCCATGGACAGGTTTAATCATATTTTGAGAATGTTTCTGCTTCGGCTTTGTCTTTTCGTTCACCACTTGTGGTGGTGGTGGTGGTGAAATCCTCCCCTATTGTGATGATGACGCCGATGATGACGCATCTCCCAGTCAGCCATAGCTATCCCAGCGCCGATGCCAAGTCCTAGACCAACAGCGGGCTGATGGAGGGAAACGAAATTTATGTATTATATATATATATATGACATAATCGTGGCATATTATACAATCCCTATCAATTGATCATCGAATATAACATTATTGTAGTTTTTTTTGTAAAGTTGAACGTCCTAATATCTATCTCTTTCTCCCTCTCTCTCTCTCTCTCTCTCTTTCTCTCTCCCCCCCCCAGGCCTTCTTTTCCCCCATCCCTCTGTTCCTCTCTTACTCTTTCAATCTTTGCTCCGGAAATAATCCCCTAGCCGCCAGGACAATCACACGTACACATAATCGATACAACAAACCTCTTTGCGATTTCCCCCCTATTTATTATTATCAAGACACTGTCCAGGAGAACAAACAGTCAAAGATGACTACTTTTCTCCTTGAAAACTGGAGGTCGTTTTGGACAAATTCGACTAATAAGGATGAAGAAATAAATTAATGTACATAAATAAGGTGTGACAGTAAAACAAAACCCCATATTTTTTTAACAGCAACCATACACCTCCCCCATATAAAACACCACAAAAACACTTAGAAATAAATAACACAACAATAAATAAGACACAACTAATTACCCATTATATTGATTGTTTAATTAATTGATTGATTGGCTGACTGACTTACTGTTTGATTAATTGATGATTGACTAATTGATAGATTCATTGAAGATTGATTGATTGCTTGGTTGATTGGTTGATTGATTGGTTGATTGATTTATTAATTGATTGGTCGATCGATCGATTGATTGATTGATTGATTGATTGATTGATTGGTTATTTGATTGATTGATTGATTGATTATTTGATTGATTGATTGATTGGTTATTTGATCGAAAAAAGCAAGTGGTATGTACTGACCCTGACAATAGGCGGAGGTCTTGGCCGCTCGTACACGATGGTCGTGGTGGACTGACGAGCGGGGGCGGGGTTGACTACATATGTCACGTTAGGCTGAGGGGGTGGTGGGGCCGCCGGGTACTGTGGGGGGTATTGTGAGGGGTACTGTGGGGGGTACTGTGGGGGATATTGTGGGGGGTATTGTGGGGGTGCAGGGTAGGAGGGCTGGGGCTGGGGGTACGGGTAGGGAGGGGGGCCACCGGATTTCTCTGGGGGAGGGACGGAACCTGCTGGAAGAGGAGGGAGACAGAAAGTGTAAGTGTTGGAGGAGTGTTTGAGATTTAGTCGGAGATTTACGGCACTTGCAATAAAAAAAAGGTCATATAAGTGCCAAAGAATAGGTGTGTTACAAGAGAGTAAGATACACAAAAAGAAGGAGGATAGATAAGGACAATAGATGTTTGATAGAAAAGAAGGAGCAAACCACACTAGAGCACCTGTCAACGACCTACTTGGAGGAGTGTAGAGGGGGAGAGTGAAAAAGTGTGAGTGTTAGATGAGTGTGGAGGAGAGAGAGAAAGTGTGAGTTTTGGAGGAGTGTGGAGGAGAGAGAGACACACAGAGAGAGAGAGA